ATTGTTTCCATTTCCAAAAAAAAAAAAAAAAAAAAAAGGAAAAAAAAAATTGTTTCCTAAAAATTCATTTTTTTTAATCAAAGTTTAGTGTTCATTTAATTTTGTTTCACATGAAAATTGTCCATTAAAGTGAATTTTTTTTTAACTATTGGGTATGACATTTGTTTCCATTACCAAAAAAAATATAAATTCAGCAACCTGGAAAACAGCTAAAAGAAAATAGGCGCGTGGGGTGGCGGCTGGGAAAAAGTGGCTGTCAAACATGTCAAAAGCAAAAAAATGGAAAAGATTTTCCATTTTCTATGGAAAAGATGTGCTGTCAAACACAGCCTAAGTGTCATTAGGTTGTTAGGAAGGAAATTTTTGATTCTCCAAAAAGTGACAAGCAGACGGCAACTATAGCAACAGACTGCAACGCCAGCATAAATGTTCTTGGAAAGAATAATGCTCTTTTGACAAACTTAAGGAAAGGGATGGATGGGCAGGGTAATGTGACAGATAATATTTAGGTATTGTGTTTTCATTTTTTTTCAAACCGTCCAATCATATATTTCCTAAAAATTCATTTTTTTAATCAAAGTTTAGTGTTCATTTGATTTTGTTTCACATGAAAATTGTCCATTAAAGTGAATTTTTTTTTAACTATTGGGTATGACATTTGTTTCCATTACCAAAAAAAATAAAAATTCAGCAACCTAGAAAACAGCTGAAAGAAAATGGGCGCGTGGGGTGGCGGCTGGGAAAAAGTGGCTGTCAAACATGTCAAAAGCAAGAAAATGCAGCCTAAGTGTCATTAGGTTGTTAGGAAGGAAATTTTTGATTCTCCAAAAAGTGACAAGCAGACAGCAACTAGAGCAACGGACTGCAACGCCAGCATAAATGTTCTTGGAAAGAATAATGCTCTTTTGACAAACTTAAGGAAAGGGATGGAGGGGCAGGGTAATGTGACAGATAATATTTAGGTATTGTGTTTTCATTTTTTTCAAACCGTCCAATCATATGTCGACAAGTGTCCTCCCTATTTTTGAACATGTCTCTAAACCTGTTTGTGTAGCGCAATTGTCTTTGAAATATAATGCAGATAAAATACAATACATGTGATCAAATTTTGTTACTATCAGACATTTCTTTACAGTTTTACATAACACATCAAAGTGTTGACTAGGGGCGGAGCCCAATATGGTCCAGTGTGGGCACAGGCTCACACTAAACTTTTGGGTTCGAATTTTTTTTAGTTATATGTTAAGTTCCAACCCAAGAAGGAAGGCCTAGCCCAATCCAAAAAATGTAAAAACCATTTCACTTCCCACCCGTCTTTTCCATTTGTGCAGTCTCCACACCGCCTCCGGCCCTTCGATTATCAATCTCTCGAGCCCTTGTGGCTTCGCCCCCGTCTGCTCCATTTCACAGCTGATCCATGACCCATATGCTCGATACTTTCACTTCGCACCCGACCTCGAATTTCTTTCTTGTCTTCTTTCTCTAGATAATCATCTATCTTCGTAACTCTTAAGCTCGATACTTTTATTTTACAATTTAATTACTTATTGTTGACGAATTTCTATCTCGCATTCTCGCTTATATTGTAAATTTGTAATTCTCCTTTTTTCAGAATATGTAAGTTGAAATAAGTGTTAGATTTATAACCTACGTTGAGTTTATTTACTTGAAGAATGGATGGAAATTTTATTTATTTTCCTTTACGTACAGAATGATTTTCTACGGTTCTGGACCTTCTGGTCCTCTGGACTTCTGGTGGTGTAGAGATTCAACTGTTAGTCACTTAGTGTTATGAATTGAAATTTGGGTATTGTTGAGTAGAAGTTGCTGAAATTTGGGTATTATTGAATTGAAATTGCTGAAATTTGGGAGTTGTTAAATTGAAATTGTTGAAATTTGGGTATTGTTGAATTGAAATTGTTGAAATTCGAGTATTGTTGAAAATTAAGATCTTATGAAGAGATTTTTTCAAAGAAAAAATGACTTGGACAACGTAAATGTTGATAGGGGATCCCGAGGATGTCGAATAATGTAGAATTTGATATCACTAAACTTCCAACTGATCCTAGTGATACCCATTTTGGATTACAATATGGTATATCAATTGGTTTACAAGTTCTTGACTTTAGCATTGATCCTACCAGTCGCTACTGCTACTGTGGAGAGTATTTTCTGCAACGAGCATTGTAAAGGATAGACTGCGTAATCGGACAGGTGATCAACGGATAAATGATAGCACAATTGTTTATGTAGAGAGATATATTTTTAAAACTCGATAATGAAGTTATTGTACAACGATATCAAAGTATGAAAACTCGAAATGAACAAGTATAATTTATAAATTATGTCATTTTTAGTATTATCGTAACATTGTTTTATATTTTTATTATCATTACATCCATGATAAAACTCGACGTTCAACATCGATAAATTGTGCCCACCCTGACAAAAAATCCTGGCGGACCTGACTTCAGTTCATTTGTAAAAATTTCATTTACTGAATATCATTTTGCTCTAATTCTGTAGAATAAATCAACCACTAAGCTGACATAAATTAGTACACTGCAATGTCCCAAGATTATCATTCTTTTACATTATCTGGTGCAAAATCTTTTGCAATTCATCAGCTCTACAGGGAAGTACAAGAGCACCTTTATGTTCAAATCCATATTCCTCCTCAGCCAACTCCAGCAGTTTCAAGAATGCAGGATGCTTAAGAAGACATATTTCCACAACAAACCTCTGTGCTCCTCGTTCGTCGTTCTTCCCTGCAAGAATGGCAAAATGCCCTTCCTTCACGTCGTCCGGTACCATCCCATTCTCTTCCACTTCTTCAAACTCAACAGCATTGAGATCTGGCAATCTGGAGTTTAAGATTTGAAGTAGATTCTGCACTTTTTTGATTAAATGCTTAAATATGATCAAACCTCTTCTTCTTTCTGACATTATCATCTTCTTGTGCAAGATTCGGTAGAAATATGTAAGATGAATATAATTTAAAGATTTCTGAGGGAATTTATAAATAGATTGTGAAATGAATGATAGGTGTATGTACTTTGAAGTTTCTAAGATAAGAGGCATGCATGGGACCTTTGTGACATAAATGCAGCTGTACTGTGTTTGAATTGCTGCATTTTTATGGGTAATTTCCTGTGTGTTTCATGTTTGCTGGAATAATGGAAACGCGTACAACATTTAAGCGCCTCACCTCTACAAATTTACAGTTAGTTGATGTTGTTTTATTTTTGTTTCCAAACATGTTTAGATCGTTCTATTTTGCTCATAAGTTAGAAAAAAAAATTACTTATTTTAACGTATGATAAATATTGTATTTGGAGGAGGGAGGTGGGGCAGTGGAGTCGCGGGCCTCACTAAAATTTTGGTTTTCTTCTTCTTCTTCTTTTTTTTTAAAATAAAATTAAAATTAAAATTAAAAAAATGCAGTGTGAGTGAGAGAGAGCAGATGCTTTGACAGAATGAATGTTGACAGATATGATTGGATGAAAAAATTGACTGTGTTTTAAATAAACCAATAATATGATGTCATATAGCATTATGTAAAAAAAAATGTCAACAATTATGTTACTGTAGCATGATTCTTCATTCATTTATCCTTAAACCTTGATGCCAATCTTGTCACAATTCCAATCCATACTTCACAAACCATTGTATTTGTCTCATTACTATATACAAATATGAAAGATCTATACGTGTATAGTTTTGTATATGTTTTATACGGTGCCTTTTGAAATCACCAAAAACAAAAAAAGACGCTCATTTTTCTTGAGATATGGAATTTGATAGATGCACGATTAGAAAAATAAGCTAATATTAGAGTAGATTCTACGATTGCGATACGAAATGAATGCACGAAAACTCAATATTGGAAATATTTTATGGGTTCATTTGGGTTGGGTTTTGAGAAATATGGAATGAGTTGTAGAAGGGAGCTGAATTTTGTTGGAATGATTCACTTTGTGCTTTTAATTTCACTAAAAAAAAAATCAATTCCTTCTGTAAAATAGTTAATATTTTATTATATTATATCATGCTGAATTTGAGTCCCTAACCTCAACTATATTATTAAAAAAAACAAAAAACTAAGATTTAGAGAAAAAAGAAAATCCTATTTTTTTTTTTTTAAATCATATTTATAGTTTTATTTTCCTGGTTAATTACGTCGGTTTCTTGACTTGTGTAATGTAAACACTATTGGATGTGACCTACAGAATTTCTATAAGTTGAAAATTATGATTTCAGATAATTAATGCAACATTTTCTCCTGAAAATAATATTATTAAAATTATGTGAAATAAAACTGTGTTTGATGCACCGCCTCAAAACTTTTTATTTTTTTAAATTATTATCCACTTGGTATATTTGCAGCAAATTGAAGTGATCACCCTCTTAAAATAGGAAAATGTTTTTTTTTTCTTTTCTGTTTAATAAAATTCGTTCTCTTAGAAAATCACTCTCTACACAAATATGTGGTCGACCGTCGACTGTCTTAAGCGGCCACCATAATGTCGACAGTATTGTAGCACCGCCAACTACCTTAATGTCCCTACAAACTAAAAATCCTGAATTCACCCCTAATTGAAAAGTACCGACAAACTAAAAATCCTGAATTCACCCCTAATTGAAAAGTACAGAGTTCCCCCACTATTTTTCAAGTTGATCAAAAACATTTCTTTTAAGTTTGACTATGATGAGGTAGGGAGAGATATTTGATCGGGATGGTGCTAAGAGATGGAGTGGTGGTAGGACAGAAGGGAAGAAATATCGAGTCAAATTTCGTATTTTCAAAAGTAAAAAAAAAAATTATATGTTATTTAACGAAACAATTGAAATTGTGAGTTGATGCTTTTTGAAAAGTAGGGGTCGGTGGAATTAGTTCCTCTGCTCGATGATCTGAAATAAATGTGTGAAACTATTCCATTTCCCTTCGGTGTAAGAATTAGTCTATGGAAAAGACAGGCCCTAAAGGCTCGGCCTAGAGAGCAAAAGGATGAAGTTGTTTATGCATAGAGAGAGAGAGAGAGAGAGAGAGAGAGAGAGTTTTCCAGACCATCAATGTTGCCTTCGACCTTAGCCTTTTAGGCGCTAAATGGATCATCACAAACTGGCTCTATAGAGGCCCGTGGATCTTTCTGAATTGGGCCCACCCATGACCGTCCAATTAAAAAATTGTCTTGAGACTCTTGACACAATGTATCAGACACCACAAAACCCCCTTGGCTCAAAGACACGCCTCATTAAATGGTAGGAGTCGTAATATGGTAAATTGTACCTATGGTTGGCTGTTCGTGCATCCTTGAAGTGACTAATAAGGCATTTTTAGCCGACATACAAAATTTATACCTTTTTAATTGTTTGAGGGATCCACATATGTCGAAATAACTCAACGATAAGAGAAAATAAACAGAAATATATAGAACGAATCAAAAAGCACGGAATTAATCATATGGTGGAGCTTAGAAGAGTTAATGCTACATCCACTTAACAAGATACAACATTTTGTAGGTTTTACTAGTAAACAAAATAATTCTGTTAAAGTCAGGAGGGATCATTTCATGTACCCTCTCTTTTATCGTCACCTCACCTGTATCACACAAACGTACATACAAAGTACCAAAACACAATGTTAATAGGGAATTAGACAAATTCGTTGGCAATTTCAAATAATAATCGTTGGGGGTCCAATTTCAATTCGGATTATAGTAGTTGATGAGGCAATGAACAAGCCACAAGGTACAAGATTAGCTGCATAGTAGTTTGTGCTTCCAAACTTGTACCTTTCTTGAAAAATATTGAACTAATATATCTCTAAGCAATGACTATAAAAATCCAAAAAGAACGATTATATGCCCATAAAAATTGACGAGAGCTGTTCCATGTACAGGGGATTTTGCCCAGGTTTATACATGGGAACACTTGCCAATTTTTCGTTGGCAGTTGACAAAAAAAAAAGAAATATTGCCAATCAGGTGCTTCTGGCATAGCACCTGTACGCTGCCCGGCAAAAAAATCCCCGTACAAGGGGAATAACTCAAAATTGATAATGGAAAAAGGGTTCTTACAGTTTTAGGGGGATTGGCACCGATGTCCTGTGACGGGGTTATGGAGGACATAGAAACGAAGTCAGGAGATAAACGACGTCGGTGCAGAGGAACACAAGGAACAAGATGAACAAGAAGACTACGGCAAATCGGAAGAGAAGAAGAACGAAGACGAATATGATTAGGTAGAAGAAAAGGTAGGTTGGAGAATCGTCTACAACTGGATAGAGTAGCATTGTTTGGGAGAATGGTTTTAGGCCACAGGCACATTTCTCGAGAGTTTTTGCGGAATACGTGGGATTTGAAGATTGAGTTTGCCATTGATTCAGTCGTTTTCAGCTGATGATTTGGTAGAATTTCTGAAAGTGAACTGGAAAGTGTTGGATTGATAAATGGATTCAAGAATCGTGTACGACAGTGCATGGTGAACCGCAAGTTTTGAGAAGAATATAATCCTTCCAAAAGTATGGGACCTTCGGAATCCAGAAAATGAGAAGAATGCTCTTTGAATAAATGGTTCGAATTCATTAGCTTTTCTCTGTGGATTGTCCACATAAAATCTTAGAAAAAGATGCAGAAATGTGCTTTCGGTTGTCACTTTATTCTAGTCGAGTTGTTTTAAGTCTCGATAGTGTTACTATGTTGCCATATGGATCGAATAATAGATATTCATTTTTAAATGGACTTCATTTACTAACTCTGTAGTGATTGCATTTGCCATATAATCCATGCCAAGTTTTAGAAAGAGACATAAGAATGTGTACAAGTGAAAGTAATTGATTTCTTTGATTAATTTGATACACAAATATCTAGAGATTGAAGCAAGGCACTAGATATTCTTATTGGAGTTGATTTATTGTTTCATTTACAAATATGAAGTTTCAATGGTAACGACGAGGTGGAAATATTAGGATGGATATAACTTTCAAACTAAATCAGATCGAACTAGAATTGAATTGAACTCAGTAATTCATTTTGATATTTCGTAGGAATGCAAAACCAGCATGTTAGGTTTGGACCCAAAATCAAATAATTGAATCTTCCAAACTTTTGTATGTATGATATCGAATGTGTCATGATTTTAATTTTTTTAAAAGAAAATTTTGTCTATTCAATGCCAATGCCCATTTTTTAGACAAACGTTGTGTTGTTTCAAACTTTTTATACATTGGTGAATGATTATTACTAGACAACTCGTCTTGTTTTAAAATTTGGACTACTCTTGTTATTTTATAAAACGGAACCTATCCTTCGTTTAAGATTAATGTTGTGTTTTATTTGTTTTTAAATTTTAGGAGAATGGAATAATTGTTGGAATTATAAAAACGTTTACCAAACTGAACGTTCGATTTCATAATTAAAGTAGGACGCCATGGTTTCATCAATAACTAGAAGTTGTAGTCAGATTTTTAATAGATTTTGATAAAAGTTGATGAAATATGTGATTGAAAAGTTGTGAACCCCATGAAATGTATCGTTAACATTAATTGTTGATTTTGATTTGAGATTAAAATAAGATTTTAATATAAACCAAACAAGGCTTATTGTCTTTCTTTAAATTGAAGTTTACTTATTCTTAAATTATTGAGAATACATACTATACTGGTCAGCAGGGGCGGAGATAGTGGTGGGCTATAGCCTAGCCCTGCGTCCCAACCCATATCGAAAATTTAGAGACTACAATTATTAAATGAGAACAATATATAAATCCTATATATAAGGATTACATTTCAAAAATAACAAACTTCAAAAATCTTTTCAAAAATCAGGTGTTAAATAAATTAATTAAATATTTTTAATTATAACATAATACAATTACCCAATTTATTAAATTTCAAATCCAAATCATTATCTCTCTCTCTCTCTCTCTCTCTCCGCTCTCTATCCTTTCCCTACCCCTTCTCTCCATCGGAGGCGACCATCTACTCTCGTGGCCTCTCCGGCGACAGTTCAGGCGGCCACTCCGGCGACAGTTCCGATGATCTCTCCAACGGTCGCTCCGGTGACTATTCCGAAGATCACCCCGACGCTCTCTCCAGCGACTATTCACGATCCCTCTGTCAAACTGCTCCAAGACCACTCCAACGCATGCTCCGATCAACTTACCCACCTAATCCACCCATTCTCAACTTTCAAAAAAATTCCAAAATTTCAAGTCACTATCGGTCATAATTGGTCACAAACAGTCACAAACGGTCACAACGAGTCACAATTAACCAGTCACAAACGGTCACTAGATGCTGTTTTCAGGAAGTGGATGAGCTTGTTTAAACAAACAAAACATGGGCAAAAAAAAAAACAATCTACACATCGAATTGGATCAAAAAACCACCAACAAACTCCAGCAATTCAAAAATCAAATCTACTGAACAAAAAATGGCTAACAAAAATAAAGTTTACTTTTCAAAAACCACGACGACCACAATGCACCACCACATCTACAAACAATACCATCGAACAAACAGATGGACCACAAACAATTTTAGAAAACACAAGACTCGAACTATCCACCAGTCACTATGCCACCTCCTCTGCCACTTTCAAACACACCTCAAAAATCCACCACCACCACCTCTACAATAAAACAGGCGAGAAGACCCAAATCATCGCTACCACCTCCTACTCTAGAGTCAAATCACCACCACCATCACCTAAAATCATCGTCTCTCATACCAAATGTAAATCAACATAATTGCAGATTTACCCCACCCACAGAGCTACCATTGACAGCAATCAAACGTCGTGCCACCTCACCCCGTCGCCGCCAGCAGCACCATTACTGCCAACACCATCAAAATCTTCGCAAAAAAGTCATAAACCAACTCCACCTTCACCACTTATTTCTTCCCTACCACCACAAATGTACTCACCTCTACCACCACCATACTTGCCTCCTCCACCAATCTCCTCCCCACCTCTAATATCTAAATTCCCACCTCCTCTACCTACGGTCCAATCACCACCACCAAAACCAACTCGAACTATCTAAATTCCCACCTCCTCTACCTAAAGTACAATCAACACCACCAAAATCAGCTCGAACTAGGCTAATTAATCGGACCAGAAGTTGCAACCACATTGGAAACAAAAAGCAACTCCTTCAAAGTATGAAAATCGGCAAAATTAAATATTAAATAATAATTCTATTTACCACCTGATTTTTGAATTACAAAACTTTATCCCCTTATTTTTGAAGTGTATTCTCAAAAAGAAGGGTTTTAGATAATTTTCTCATATTAAATTATATTAGCCCAACTCTAATTTGAATTATAACCCAAGTCCAATGCTTATTTATTCAATTTTTATTAAAGATACTACAATTATTAAATATTCTTTTCATGATATTCACGAAACGTGAATATCTTATTGTCAATTTAAGCATTTTATTTAATGCATGTTTGACTAAATTTACTTATGATAATTAAGTAAAATTTATAATTGATAATGAAAATAAATTACTTATTTTAATAGTTAGAGGCACTATATGTTTTGCTAAACTTAAAAGTAATTAATTTTTTAATTATACGTATGTTTTCATATATTACTTATTCATATTTATATAGAAAAAAAAATTTATTCGTTTTGATCGTTAAATAGACATTATGATCAAATTAAATAACTTGCTCTAATTCTATCTTGTCAATAAAAAAGAATATTTTTTAAAGTATATTTATTTATAAATTGATCTATATATAAATATATTTTGAAATTGAGTCAAACATGGTTATGAATTAAATCTAATTTACTTGGACCCCCATGATTCTTAATCGATTTTTCTCACTTTGGATGAGATTCTTCACTTATTATGAAATGACGAGATATAGAAGAATGACGTCCACACCAAATAATATTTTGAGACAATAACATATAGTGATGTATTATTAATAGCGTGTTTCGATCAAAGTTTTCAATTGTTTGGAAAAACTGATTATCAAAGTTTTTTAGAATAGTATTTATTAAATAATTTCTTAGTTGTTTATTAGTGAATATGTATCATTTGCTTCGATCATGATTTGGTCAATTTATATTTCTATTTGGAAAGAGAATATAAAAAGATCGAGTGGGACATCTTAGGATGAAACATCTAGACTTTTTTTTTTTTAATTTCATTGAATGTCGTACACTTTTTGTCATGAGTTTAGCCTCTTATAACGGAGGTTCATTCGTAATTTTTTTAAATTTCAATCCATCCTAATGTTATTTTTCGGCTCCGCCCATGCTGGCCAGTATGTAAATTTTTAATAAAACAGAAATAAAGAATGTAACGTTAAGAACTATTAGAGATAGATTCTTCCGTAGTGAATGTCTTACTCATTGCTAGCACAAAAAGATAAGATTGGTAGAGGGGTGACCTGTGAAAATACATCGGTTTCTTACTCGTGCGAAGGACCTATTTCTAGGGCTGGGCAAAATATCCGAATCGAATCGAACCGGAACCGAATCGAGTGGGTTTTTTAAAATGAAATACCCGAATGTGTATCCGAATCGAGAACCGAATGGTTTGGTTCGATTCTCGGTTCTAGACCCAGAACCGAAGAATCGAATAAGAACCAAATTTTTTTTTTT